CATTTTGTAGTTGAAGTGACTTTGTAGCCGTAGGCGGGTTATATTTGAGACAACTTTAGTTGTTTGAGTTGACTTTTATAGTCATGGGCTTTATAGCCTTGCCGAGATTTCGCTCGAGGCATGCAACTTTTGTTGCTTGAGTCGACTTTTATAGTCGTGGGCTTTATAGCTTTGCCGAGATTTCGCTCGAGGCATACAACTTTTGTTGTTTGAGTCGACTTTTATAGTCGCGGGCTGTGTAGCCTTGCCGAGATTTCGCTCGAGGCATACAACTTTTGTTGTTTGAGTCGACTTTTATAGTCGCGGGCTTTATAGCCTTGCCGAGATTTCGCTCGAGGCATACAACTTTTGTTGTTTGAGTCGACTTTTATAGTCGCGGGCTTTATAGCCTTGTCGAGATTTCGCTCGAGGCATACAACTTTTGTTGTTTGAATTACTCGGCTTCACCGCCGTTCCGAGACTTGATTTTTCTAGGTATAATAGATCGACATGGAAATGTAAAAATCATAAACATAAAATTTGAGAGATTGTATTACTGATCTTGATTAACCATTGTTCAGTACAAAAAGAGTTTGAAATTCTTAAGCATAAAAGCGTTTGAGATGAATCACGTGCCAGGATCGCGGCAGTTGTCGTCCTTCGCCATCTTCGAGTTCGTATGCGCCTCTCTCGAGTACTTTGGTGATGGTGTAAGGTCCTTCCCAATTGGCTTCGAGCTTCCCGACATGTTTAAGAGCATCTACTCGCTTGAGGACAAGGTCTCCTACTTGAAACCGCCTGGTGCGGACCTTCCTGTCAAAGGCTGCCCGTATCTTTTGCTTGTATTCTACGGACCGCAGCCAGGCTTCCTCTCGCATTTCTTCTATCATGTCGAGGGCCTCTTTTGCTAGCTCTTCATTGGTCTTTTCTTCATAGAATGTCGACCTGTGAGGTTCCAATCCAACCTCGATGGGCAATAGGGCGTCCATTCCATAAACCATGTGGAATGGTGATTGCCCCGTTGAACTTCTTGGGGTCGTCCTATAGGCCCATAGGACCGTTGTCAGCTCGTCGACCCAGGCACCAGATGCTTTCTCCAGTCTTTTCTTTAGCCCCTGCAGGATGGTTCTGTTTGTCACTTCGACTTGGCCGTTCGCCTGAGGGTGCGCAACTGAGGCGAATCGCTGTTTTATCCCCATGTCGACACACCACGCCTGGATCCGCTTTCCTTGAAATTGCATCCCATTATCTGAAATCAAGATCTTTGGAATCCCAAATCGACAACAGATATTGTTGAACAGAAAATGTATCATTTTATCTTCAGTGATTTTTGCCAGAGGTTCTGCTTCCACCCATTTGCTAAAGTAGTCGACAGCGACTACCATAAAGTTTCGTTGCCCCGTTCCCATTGGCAATGGGCCTACCAAGTCGATTCCCCATTGTGCAAAAGGGATCGGACAACTAATCGTCGTCATTGTTTCGGCTGGAACGTGGGGGATTTGACCATGGCGCTGGCACCTGTCGCATCCTTGTACCAATCGTTCGGCTGCTTTTCGAATATTGGGCCAATAATAGCCTGCCCGAAGGGCTTTACCGGCTAGGGCTCGCGATCCTATGTGTGCTCCGCAGCATCCTTCATGGATTTCCTTCAAGACATGGTCCCTTTCTCTTTCAGAAACGCATCGCAGGTGGGGTCCGACCATCGACTTCTTATACAAGACTCCTTCGATCTCAAAATATTTACTCAAATATCGGGCTGCTTTCTCGGCCGCCTGTTTATCTCCTTCTGGCACTCGACTTTGTAAGAGCTCGCGAATTGCTTTTCGCCAATCTTGGTTTTCATCGACCTCCATTGTCTCACTCAGGACACTTTCTTCCAAGTGTAGTGTGGTAATATGGTTCCCCATTTTTCCTTCGTTCGAGCTCGCAATTCTCGCGAGCCAGTCGGCCCACTTATTCTCTTCTCGAGGTACTTGCGTTAGCTCAAAGTTGTCCAAGCCTCGTACTAGGCTCTGAATTTCTTCGACATACTTTGTCATCCGATCCTCTTTGATTTCGCAATTCCCCAATACTTGCCCCACTACTAGTTGTGAGTCAGAATGCGCCATGATTTCCGTCGCTCCGCCCGCGATTGCCAGTTGGATTCCCTTAATTAGGGCCTCGTATTCTGCTTCGTTGTTGGATGCTTTAAACCCCATTCATATGGCAAAGTCGAGCTGTTCGCCTTCGGGGGACACTAGGGTTACCCCTAGACCAGATCCCTTAGCTGACGAGGACCCGTCGACGTGCATCATCCATTTCTTGCTTTCTCCTTTGGTCCCTTCTTGGATAAAGTCGGCTAGAGCTTGGGCCTTTATAGCTCGTCGAGGTTCGTATTTGATGGAAAATTCGCTGAGTTCGACTGCCCATTTTACGAGTCGACCTGACACGGTAGGTCGACCCAATGTCTCACCGAGCTGGAAATTTGTCCTTACTATTATCATATGGTTCAGGAAATACGGCCTCAATTTTCAGGCTGTGAGTACCAATGTTAATGCGGCCTTCTCGACCTCGGAATATCTTGCTTCTGCGCCCTGGAGCACTCGACTTGTATAATAGATCGGCTGCTGAGCCCCTTCAGCTTCTCGCAGCAACACAGAACTCAAAGAAAAGATTCCCACCGAGATATAGAGTACCAACTCGTCGCCCGGCTCTGGCTTTGTTAACAATGGTAGCTCGCTCAAAAACTCCTTCAGTTTTTCAAACGCCATCTGAGCCTCGTCGCCCCACTGGAAAGCTTTTTTCTTGAGTAACTTGAAGAAAGGGAAACTCCTTTCCGCCGCCCGGGCTATGAATCGACTTAGGCCTGCAATTCGACCTATCAGGACTTGTACTTCTCTAACATTCTTTGGTGGGGTCATGTCGAGTATGGCTTGCACTTTATCCTTATTCACTTCAATGCCTCTTTCAGTTACGATATAGCCTAGGAATCATCCTGCCCTCACTCCAAAGGCACATTTACTCGGATTCAGCTTCATTCCAAATGTTCTCAGTATCGTAACGCTTCCCTTAAGTCCTCTACATGAGAAATCGAGGACCTACTTTTCACCAAGATATCGTCCACGTAAACTTCCATATTTCGCCCGATCTGTGATTTGAACATTCGATCCATCAACCTTTGGTATGTTGCCCCTGCGTTCTTAAGTCCGAAAGGCATAACGACATAACAATACGTCCCTTTGCTCGTCACGAAGCTAACTTTGCTTTGATCCTCAGGAGCCAAGGGAATTTGGTGGTACCCCTGGGACGCGTCCATCATGCTTAGCAATTGACAGCCAGCAGTAGAGTCGACCAGCTGGTCGATTCTTGGCAGGGGATAGTGGTCCTCCGGGCAAGCTAAATTTAAATCGCGAAAGTCAATACACATACGCCACTTATTTAGTGCTTTCCTTACCATCACCGTGTTTTATATCCATTCTGGGAATTGAATTTCTTTGATATGTTTGGCTTTCAACAATTTGTCCACCTCGACTTCTATGGCTTTGTCGATTTCTGCGCCATGGTGTCTAAGCCGTTGCTTCACGGGCTTTTTCAGGGGGTCGACATTAAGCTTGTGCTCCATGACATCGGGATCGATTCCTGTTAGCTCTTCAGGGGAGAAAGCGAATATGTCCCTGAATTCTTTCAGCAGTCCCACCAATTGTCGACGTAACTCTTCTTCCAGTTCTCGCCCTATTTTCGTAGTCTGCTCCTCTCTCTCCCCGATTTGAATTTCCATTAATTCCCCGTGTGGCTCAAGATCACTTTCCCTTCGTCTTTTTTCATTTGACACCGACTTTTTTCCTTCTTTCACCTCCGTTCGTTGGTTTGTCCTTACTGCAATCTGATAACAGGTTCTTGACAGCCTCTGGTCCCGTCGGGCCTCCCCTACCTTATCCCCGACGGGGAACTTTAGCTTCATATGATAGGTTGACACTACTGCTTGGAATGTGTTGAGTGCTGGCCTTCCCAGAATCACATTATAAGCCGACTCGACGTCGACCACGACAAATTGCACCATTTTCACCTTCTTCAAGTCGCCTTCCCCGAGGACGACAGCGAGAGTGGTTTCCCCCAGGGGTGCGACTTCCGAGCCATTAAATCCAAAAAGTGAAGTGTGGAGAGGTGAGAGTTCAATGTCGAGTTCCATCCGCTTAAGGCAATCGAAAAAAATCACATTCACCGAGCTCCCTGTGTCGACAAAGATTCTCTGGACTTCATAGCCCGATATCTGAGCTGTGATCATCAAGGCATCGTTGTGAGGTCTCTCAACCGCTCCCATGACTGTTGGTCCGAAATTCATCACTGGACCATCTTCCTCGACCTGTTGCACTTCGGTCTTTCCGTGATGCCCTCGAGCATATGCTTTTCTAGCTCGATTTGAATCACCATCGGTTGGCCCTCCGAATATCATATGAATTACTCCTCTTTTCTGGGGAAGCTCCTCCTTATCGGGTGTTCTTGCCCTCTTGTGAGGGCTTTTGCTCTTCTCCCCTCGCTGACTGGTTCGTTCTCGATCTTTATAAACGAATTCCTTCAGATGGCCTGCTTTGATTAGTCTCTCGATTTCATTCTTTAGGTGCCGATATGACATGTCGGTTACTACATGTCGGATATGACATATCGGTTATTACTACACGAGCCGATATCTATGACTTGCTAAGACCGACACAACAAGGCGGTGCCAACTCAGCACGACTCATCATTACACCTGGCCAAGTGGCACGTTACCAGGATGAATGGCAATCAGCCGCCGTTGACTATTCTCGTGTAATGATTACGTATTAGATAAATGTTGTAAATAAATATAAAAGGAGAAAGGGTTCTCCAACCAGAGAAAGGAGAGAGACAATAATATTCAGAAAATTCTATCTCATTTCACTGTTCATATAGTCTTTGCTGTTTTATTTTGAAGTTACACTAAATCTCTGTTGATTATATAGTTGTTAACTCCCGTTTAACAACAGTTTGGCGCTAGAAGGAGGGCCTCATCACGTTTTGAGGTTAACTTTCGCTGTTAAAGCCATTTTCGCGCTTGAAGTCGCCATATCGCAGTCTGGTCGAGACCATACAACTCACCCTGGCCAGAGCCAATCGACTAATCATTCTCCGCGGCGTTCAACAACGCCCCCTCCGGTCACGAACACCACGAAATTTCTTCAAAACCCGGAGTTTATTCAAGGTTTAACCTCTTTGATAGCTCGAGCTATGCCCAGGAACTCGAATACGATACCATTATCAATGCCGTTAACTACCAATCCAACAGAACATCCAAATCATACTCGTCATGACCTCGAAACGCATGCGGCGACATCCCATGCTATGTCACAACCTCACCATACTTCTCCACGTCGAGAAGAGTTAACTCGTATAACTGCTAACCCAATAATGAACAATCAAGCCCCGGAGGAGCCCCCTGTACAGGAAATGACTGCTGAAAGTCACTCTGCTCATCATCAACGAATTCCGTCACGTCCTAGACTTACTTCACCAATGCCTCATGGTCGTGAAGATTTGCGGCGCCAGATTGAACGGAATCGTATTTCAAGACATAGTGCGGAAGAAATTGAAACTTTTCGTAAACGCTTGGCTGAACTCGAGACCCGACAGAAGTCGCAGGAAGACTCTCCCCGACATGTCTCGACATCGGGAAATGTCATTATTGAAGCTGATTCACCTTTAGCTCCGGAAATTACCGCGGAGGCACTCCCAGCTAAAGTAAAAATCCCACAAATTGGCATGTATGATGGGACATCGGATTCGGATGCACACTTGGGCCATTATACGTCTTGGATGGACTTGCATGGTGCCTCAGATGCTTTAAGATGTCGGATGTTTTCGCTTACACTGGGGCCACGAGCACAAAAGTGGTACTATACTCTCCCACCTCATTCAATTTGGAAGTGGCAACAGTTACGTGCGGCCTTCTGATCGCACTTTATCGGAGCTCAAGTTTGTCTCATCCCAAAAGAATCAATTACTAACATCTTGCAAAAGGACGACGAGACTGTTAAGGACTACGTATCTCGGTTCAACGATCGAATTCAAAACATGGAGCCTTGTCACCCAGAGACCTCTTAGTAACTGCAATCGCTGGATTGAAGCCCAACTCGATGTTTCGTTGGACCTTGTGCCAAAACAAACCGGCCACCTTCCAAGAATTTCTTGTACGAGCTCAACAATTTATTATTGCCGAGGAATCGATGTCGGTTCCTAGTTTCGACTTCTCGGTGAAAGAAAACAAGACTGAACCGGACGCTAAAAAGAAGAATAAGAAGAACTTTGGGAAAGCACAGTTTCGGAATTTCTCCAAAGGATATGAAAATACTCCAGAGTCTAGGGCTGCTCATGATCAGTATTCAGATAATGTTAAGACAGGTTATCAGGCGTTTATTCAGCCGGGGCAGCCACTATATATGAAGAACTGAAAGGAAAAGGGATTATTCCAGACCCGAGAACTGCGAGAACTCCTGAAGACAAACTGGATAAAACTCGATACTGTGCGTATCACAAGTCTCCGGGACATAATACCGATGAGTGTCTCGGTCTTTTGTCAGCACTCTTACGGTTAATTGGACAACCTCAGCTTCAAAAGTTCCAAAATTTTGATAATCGCCGGAAAGGAAGGGCCTTGGATCTTTCAGATGATGAAGATGATGATAACCGACCTGTTAATCCGAAAAGAGCTCGTGCAAACGATAAGGAGGTCTTCACGTTTTCTACTGTTGCTGGAACTTCGACCGATAATTGCAGGAAATCCAGGACACATGACACCTTAGACTCTTCACACTGCATACCTCGAGTCAATTCCAATAACAAACAGCTGGATACTTCTCGACGGAAAGCCAAAGCTTATGCCCGGGAGGCACAAAATGCCGAGAAACGAGTCATGAATGTTGATCTTCGAGATACCATCAATAAACGAAATTGTCCCATCACATTCAGTATCGAAGATGCCAATCTATTTGCTCATCCTCATTCCGACGCCCTTATTATAACAGCCCCGATTGGAGGGATTCCTGTTCATCGGATTTTGGTCGAAACAGAAGCTTATTCAAGTATTTTGATGCTCCGCACGTTCAAGAAATTGGGTTTAGACCCAGCAGACATTAGACCTTGCAACGACCAAATTCAAGGCTTCAATGGAAGCATTTCCTCCCCTGTCGGCGAAATATTGCTCCCTATTCGGTTTGGAGGTTTTGGACCAAAATCCAAGATTATTATGGAGACTTTCAAAGTCTTGGATGTCCAGAATGAATATAATGCTGTTATAGGACGAACTGCACTGTACAAACTTCGTGCTGCTGTTTCAATTTTCCATTATGCCCTGAAGTTCCCCACCATTGAAGGAGAAGGTACTCATTACGGAGATCAACGAGAAGCCCGAAGTTTGATGTTGCTCTCATCCTCGCGTAACTTCCATATGATTGAAGAGCAGGATACTGATAACTCTATTGGGTTGAACAACCCAACTCTTAATGCTGAAAGAACTGATCAGTTCGCTTCCGATACCGACATGCTTCGGGCAGATACCGACATTCCTCTTGCAGATACCGATGTCCCTATGACGTCGGTTTTGTCTGAAACATTAACTGAAGCTCTTGATCAAGAGCAACCTTTTCATGAGAAAGACATAGGAATACACGAAGATATGGATCCACGAATGCAGTTTAAAGATGGGAGTCATCATGTCCGGGCGGAACCAGTTGAAGATGTCGAAACTATTTACGTGGATGGATTGACTCAGGAAAAATCATTGCACATTGGAGCTAACCTTCAAGAACCCACGCGGTCGAGCTTAATTCAGTTTCTTCAGTCAAACTCCGATGTGCTCGCTTGGAAGCATGAAGACATGAAAGGAATTGACCCGCAGAAAGCGTGTCATCGCTTGAATTTGGACAAGACTGTCAAGCCTGTCATACAGAAACGTCGGAAATTCGGCCCAGATCGCCAGAAGGCCCTTGAAGAGGAAGTAAACAAGCTTATAGACAATAAGTTCGTTAAAGAAGCCAAATACCCGACGTGGATATCGAATCCTGTCTTGGTTAAGAAAGCCACCGGCCTTTGGCGTCTGTGCATAGATTTCTCAGATTTGAACCAAGCATGCCCGAAAGATAGCTATCCAATTCCACACATTGATTACATGGTAGATGCTACATCGGGACATCAACTCATGAGTTTTTTAGATGCTTATTCCGGGTACAATCAAATTCCCATGCACCCTGATGATGCTGAACATACGTCGTTCTACTCAGCCCGAGGTCTTTATTGCTATGTCATGATGACTTTCGGATTGAAGAATGCTGGGGCCACATACCAAAGATTGGTCAATAAAATGTTTGCTCGTTTGATCGGTCACACAATGGAAGTTTACGTGGACGACATGCTAGTGAAATCGGAACAGGCCTCTGATCACATCGCCCATCTTTCTGAGGTCTTTGACATTCTTCGAGAGTATTCCACGGTCCTTAATCTTAAGATGTGCACTTTTGGAGTTGGATCAGGGAAATTTTTAGGATACATGGTGAGTCAGAGAGGGATCGAAGCCAATCCTGCCAAGATTCAAGCCATACTTGAATTGGCTCCCCCGACATCTATTAAGGGTGTCCAAGCTTTAACCGGCCGACTGGCAGCCCTAAACCGATTCATTTCGAAGTCGACGGATCATTGTAAGCCGTTCTTTGACGCTATCAAGAAGAAGAAGCCGTTCGAATGGACCGTAGAATGTCAGAATGCTTTGGACAACATCAAAGAAGTTCTTTCAAGGTTACCGACGTTGCAGAAACCTCTTCCTGATGAACCTTTGTATTTGTACCTGGGTGTAAGTGACGTTGTTGTTAGTGCTGTTCTTATACGACAAGATGGGCTTCAACAGTCTCCGATATATTACGTTAGCAAGGCCTTACATGACGCTGAATTGCGATATCCATATATGGAGAAGTTAGCATTTGCTCTGATCATCGCTGCACGGAAGCTGCGTCCATATTTTCTGGAACATTCAATTATCGTGTTTACAACATACCCTCTCCGACAAGTCCTTCACCGACCTGACACGTCGGGAAGAATGATTAAGTGGGCGATAGAACTGGGACAGTTTGATATTCAGTACCGACCACGAACTGCTATCAAAGCTCAAGTGTTATCTGATTTCATTGCTGAATTTACTCAAATTGTCAATACATCCATTGACGATCCGACATGGACTCTTTACGCCGATGGATCGTCCACCGCTATACGAGCCGGAGGAGGGATTGTCTTAGTTAGTCCTGATCAACAAGTGTTTTGTTACTCTGTAGCATTCACTTTCCCAACTACCAACAACGAAGCTGAATATGAGGCCCTCCTATCAGGCCTACGCTTTGCCGAATCCATGAATGTTTCCTCTCCCCGAATATTTTCCGACTCTCAGTTACTAGTCAGCCATATTAATGTCACGTACGAAGTTAAAGAACCACGGTTATTGCCTTATTTTGATCTCGCAAAGAAGGAGCTGTCACGGTTCAAAATGACGTTGGAACATATACCTCGGTCATCCAATATTCAGGCAGATGCTCTTTCACGTTTGGCCTCGTCGACCGATTTGAATAATGTCGAGTTCGTGCAAATTACTCAACAGGCGACCTCATCAACAGTCTCTACCGACGTCGTCATGATTGACGCTGCTCCACCAACTTCAGATCCGACGTGGATGGATCCGATCGTCGACTATCTTCAAACCGGGGCCATTCCTGAAGACCCAAAAGAAGCTTGCACTCTTCGTGTTCGTGTTGCTCATTTCACCATTGATCAGGGAACGTTATATAAGCGTGGATATTCTATTCTGTTGCTTAAGTTTTTGTCAGAGATTGATGCCCAACGGGTTCTTCAAGAAGTACACGAAGGAGTCTGCGGTACCCACCAAGGAGCTCAAGCTTTATCCCACAAGATTCTCCAACAGGGCTACTACTGGCCGACTATCAGAAAAGATGCCGCAGACTGGGTGCGAAAATGTCACAAGTGCCAGATATTCGCTCCTAACGTTAATCAACATCCTGAACTTCTCAAGTCAATATATAGCCCAGGGCCGTTTGCAAAATGGGGAATTGATTTGATCGGCCCACTTCCAACAGCAAAAGGGGGTGTTCGGTTTGCAATATTAGCTGCTGACTACTTCACTAAATGGGTTGAGGCCGAGCCTCTTGCGACCATCATGGAACAAAAGATGATCGATTTTGTATGGAAATCAATCGTTTGTCGGTTTGGAATACCAAACTCCATCATAACCGACAACGGTCGCCAGTTTGAAGGGAAACGATTTGAAAGCTTTTGTGAAGATTACGGCATCAAGCAATTCTTCTCGTCACCTTATCATCCACAAGCTAATGGACAGATAGAAGCCGTAAATAAGATTATCAAGAATGGTCTGAAAACCCGGCTTGAGATTGCAAAGGGATCATGGCCTGATGAGTTACCTTATGTCCTCTGGTCTTACCGGACGACGACAAAAAATTCGACTGGAGAAACTCCATTTTCGTTGGCATACGAGACTGAAGCTGTGATACCGGTTGAACTTACTTCTCCAACATATCGGATTAATCGTTTCTCTGAAGAAACCAACTCGGCAAACCTGAAAGCCAGTCTCGATTTGGTCGATGAGTTACGGGCTGATGCTGAAATTCGAAATGCCGCCTATAAACGACGTAGTGAAAAGTACATCAATTCAAGACTCAAGCCACGCTCATTTGTCAAAGGAGACCTTGTATTGAAAAGAGTCACTGGGGCCAATGTCGGCCCGTTACAACCAAAGTGGGAGGGACCCTTTAAAGTAAATCGTCTGATTTCTAATGGTACCTACCGACTTGAAACTCTAGATGGTGTTCCCCTTCAGTATCCCTGGCACACAACCTATCTGAAGAAGTACTACCAGTAAACTTCAAGGCCAAAGTTCTGTCCCTGATGTATAAAAAGTTTTTGTCCTACTCATGTACAAGAACCACATTTTGCTATCAATAAAGTTTGTGTGACGAACCTCTAAAATTTGTTCGATCACTCGGACCACAATAAATCGGTCCCCGTTGCTAAGGCTAAACGTGTTTCATACCCTGAAGATGGTATGACCTAGCCAAACTCGGCAAAGCTGGATACTTCCAAACCCTGAAGTTGGTTTGGGGAGGCTTATGCTCTATAATATCAAATCCCGACGTTGATTTGATGAGCTCACAATAAATATTTGCAGTAAAAGCAAGTCTTTTATGACTTGTTCCGATAAAGAGTTTGCAGATGTCGGATAAACTGTAAATTGTGCCGACACCAAAAATTTAAACAAACTCAAAGCAAGGCAAAGTATAAGTATTAAGTATCACGTCGGAGTAATTACGAGCATTATCCATTAAACGTTCGTTTATCTTTCTCCGACATGTTTTGACTTGGTACAATAAATGTCAAAATAGTACATTCATGAAACACAAAATCAAAAACGTCGAAATTCATTCATAATAAGAAATTGTCATTACATACGATCTCAAAAAAAAAAAGAGAGAGAAAAGAAAAAGAAAAAGAAGAAGGAAGATTATTCATCCTTTTTGGTCCCCGACGACGAAGCCTCTCCGGCTATAGAAGACTGGGAGTTCCCACCTCGGTTTTGCTCTTGTCCGCCGCCTCCAGATGGGTTATCAATCTCTCGCCCAGGCGTTGCATCACCTCTTCCTCCTTCTCTTCCATAGCACGGACGACGTCACTTTCTTTTATAATGACGACATCGTCGTCCTCGTGCAAGACTCGATCGTCGTCGGAGGGGATCAGTTCGGTTAGCCACCCTTTGGCTTTGGCGTCGTCCTTGGCCACTTTCCTCGAGGCAAAGCCAGTAATTGCCTCCATTAACTCTTCATCAGATAGGCCCTCCAAAGTTTCGATGACGAACGCCTCAGCAATCGCCACAACACACATGTTCGCTAAGTCGGGTTTTTTAACATTCTCAACTTCAAGGACCATGTTGACAAAGGCCCGGCGGATCTTGGCCCTGCGCTCTTCCAATAGCGGCGCCATGTCTAATTCCAGCATCTGACTCTCCTTCTGCTTTAGGAGTCGGTCGGCGAAGTCTCGCTCATCCTGGTCCGCCGGAATATGAGCATTTTTTATTTCAGGGTTGAGGCGATATTTCTCCATTTTGTGCAAAAGAAAAATACGCAGCTCGTCAATGGTGTAGATACCATTCTCCACTCTGTCAATCACCCAACGTACCGTTAGTGCGGCATTTAGCTCCAAATCCCACTCGGTCACCACATCTGCACTCACTGCTTTGTCGGATTCAGCCACCGCCTTTTTACCGACGTCAACGCCTTCTTGAAATTTGAGGTCGGCGGGAGCTGTCATCTCCTGACGAAGTTTACTCGTAGCAATCTCATGAGCTTCGCGGCATCGAATCAGTTCGGCATCCTTAGCAGATCGGTCCTTGCGAACAGCTTGAAGCTCAGCCCTTAGCCTCATGAGCTGCTCATCTTTTTCTCTGGCCGTTTCTTCAATTTTAGCCAGTTGAACCGACATGAGATCATGAACTAGTAAAAGATTTTCTTTTTCAGTTTTTAATGCGCTCGCTTCAGTTTGCGCCGCCATCAGCTGAGCATCCTTCTCCGACATCGTCGCCTCATAACGAGACTTCTCATCTTCCAAAGACGCTATGGCACCTTCCTTCAGACTTAGTTCATGCTGCTTCTCATCAAGTTCATGCGCTCTACTCCAATAACTCTCTTCAGCAGCAATGAAGCTAACAAGCGCCCGTCCCAAGCAGCCCTGGGCATAGCTAAACTTCTAGTCGTCGGGTAGAGACGCGATCCCGGCGTGAGTCTTTGGATCCCATGACATCAGCGGAACTTTCGCCTCGCTGGGGACCCGATGATTAATCGTCACTTTAGGCTCGACGACTGTTTGAAACATTAAAAACCAAGGGTCAAACACACCCTCCGGAAGCGTCAGCTCCGCCACTTTTTTCTCATTAACTTTAAGGAAGGAGTCCCTCAGGATGATCTCAGGTTCTTCCTCCTCCTTATCTTTGTCGGCGCCGGTGTTTGGCTTCTTCTTCATCCTCTCAGCCACGTGAGACACGCTGGATCTCTTGCGCCGTTGAATTACATTCAGGCAAGGCTCTTCCGGTGCTTCTTGCGGTATGTCGGTCACTGTAGTAGGCTCGTCTACCGGCGTCATGACTTGCTGCAATGGAGCGACGTTAAGTGTTGTGATGTCGGAAACGACTGGCTCGCTCACGATAGCCGGTGCTGGTTCCACTCTTGCCGTTGAAGGCTCACCGACTACTTCCTGAGACCGGTTCGGATTCTTTTTCCATGCTTTCAGGAGGTTCATGCGTCCCGCCATCTCAGTTGATCGGAGATTTTTGTTTTTCCCGACTTTGTTCTTTAAATCGAAGTTCGGATTACGTCTCCGGTGTTCTTCTGCCTCTACGGGATCTCCGAAACCGAAGTATCCCAGTAAAAGATAATAGACTATTACAAAGAATTTAAAGTTAGTCCGACCTCACCAATGCGAACGATAAAACAAAGTAAGCGAGAAAATTACCTGGTTGAAATGAAGAGTCAAGTATCCCTGGAGATAAACCAGCTAGCTCTAATCGGGAATCTTTCACGAGCCGTTGATATCGTCGCTTATTATGAGAGACTTCGAATAATTTGTCCACTCAATCGTACAGCAAACCTTCAAACTTGGGTTCTCTCTTTCCCGTTGGTTTTGCTACAAGGTCACAAAAGTCCACCTGTTAGCGGAAACAAAAAACAAGATATTAATAACCGAAGTGAAGAAAATGGTGAACAACTTACAATAACCAGATTTAATAGCCGTTGGGATACTTGTCCCATCGGCAAGAAGATCATTAGCGAAGTCGGGGCACTGCCAGTCTCCACCGACCCACAACCATTCCTCTTGAAAGCCGTGTAATGTGTCGGGGACTTCCATTATTTATTCGCCAACTTTGACTCTTGGTTGGGGTTTACCAACAATGGAAAAAGTGAGAAGTGGATCTGATACTTGTCTATCCGGGCTCTTCCAGAATGTAAACATACTCCTCATATCCTTTGCCGATGGTAGATCCCACTTTTTTTTCGGCAAAAAGCACCAGCAATCCAATGATTCGCTTCCATGAATTCGGAG